TCTTTCTTTCTTTCTTTCTTTCTTTCTTTCTTTCTTTCTTTCTTTCTCTTCTTCTTCTTCCTCCTTCATCATCATCACTTTAGCCATTTTCTACCCACTGAAGGGTGAAGGCTTCATCCGCATGTTTCCAACCCGTACAGTCCTGAGTTTTCTTTTGCCAGTTGGTCCCACCGTATTTGCTGACGTTGCCAATCCATCTTGTTTTAGGTCTTTTTTGTGGACGCTCTTTATCCGGTGGGATCAAATAATTTAAAAACTATGTGCTCCTTGGATTCCACATTGATCTCCAATGAATCGGACAAAGCCTGCCTGAACAAAAGTTGCCGCGTTTCCCTGAAGTTGGGTACATCGATCAAACTTTAAAAAGACAGCCCTGTGATGTTCCTCGTGGAGAACTCTTTATACGCTGAAGTGGTGTCAAAGCAAATATCTCTATTTCCTATAGCCGTTGTTGTTTTTTATGGTCCTTTAGCACATAATCTGTTGGGAGCACATAATAATGTGATTCCCGCTGCAACGTGCCACTGAAAGTATGCTTGCGCAGCAAATGCTCAATATTCCTGACTCGGCACAATAGTAATGATCTGGAAACAGAAAAGAGAGACTCTGGGAAGCCAAGAATTTCCCTTCCAAGCTGGTGCAGCTTGCGACAAAAGCAGGAAGCTTACCGCCCCGCCATACGCTGAGATATTCCCACAGTGCAGGGAGTCCTCGACTTACGGCCCACTGCCGAGCCCAACATATATGTTGCTAAGTGAAACATTTGATTATGTGAGTTTTGCCCCATTTTACGACATTTCTTGCCGTTCAATTAGTGACACTAAGCGAATCCGGCTTCCCTGTTGATTCTGCTTGTCAGAAAGTCGCAAAAGGGGATCACGCTACAACCGTCGTAAGGACATGTCAGTTGCCAAGCGTCCGAATTTTGGTCGCGTGACCGTAGGGATGCTGCAACGGTGTTTTAAGTGTGAAAAAAACAGTCATGTCGCTTTTTTTCAGTGCCGTTGTAACTTGGAACAATCACTAAATGAATGATTCTAAGTTGAAGACAACTTACGACCCTAACAGATAATCAGAGTTGGAAGGGACCTTGTAGGTCATTTAGTCCAACCCCACACCCAAGAGGTAGGCCCTATTCCATTTCTGACAGATGGCAGTCCAGTCTTCTTGAAAGCCTCCAGGGATGAAGCTCCCACAACTTTTGAAGGAAGTTTCTCCTTATTTCCAGGTTGAATCTCTCCTTGTCCAGTTTCTATCCATTATTCCTTGTCTGGCCTTTGGGTGCTTTAGAAAATAGCTTGACCCCATCCTCCTCCCTGTGGCAGCCCCTCAAATATTGGAAGACTGCTTTCCTGTTCCCCCTGGTCCATTTCTTCCCTAGACTAGCCAGGCCCAGTTCCTGCAACAGTTCATTGTTACGTTTTAGCCTCCAGTCCCCTCATCCTCCTGGTTGCTCTTCTCTGCACTTTTTCTAGAGTCTCAACATCTTTTTTATGGTGTGGTGACCAAAACTGGATGCAGGATTCTAAAGCTTTATAGGGTGGCCTTAGTAGCCACAATTGAGCCCACTGTCTTGGCCATAAAGCAGGACAGTCGTAAAGCATCACCATGTGACCTGATGCAATTTTAAGACCCTTTTTTTTTGCAGCATTCATACAGAGAGAGCAGCAGTCTTTAAACGACCACCACGGTCATTAAGCAAACCTGTTGTTTGCTATAGGGCCGTCTTTGCTGGAAATTTGGACCTAAATGCTGGTTTATGGCAAAAACAGTGTCAATCATGGTCTCGTGACTGCGGGGTGCTGCAAACAGCTATGAACGTGGGCCGGTTGCTGAGCGTGCAAAATGTGGTCACAAGTGGTCGTAACTTTGAATCTAGGTGGTCAGTCCCAGTTTTGGAGTCTGTGGTAACTTCACTGATTTTGCAGTAGGAGAAATCTTTTTGGTTTCATGGCTCAGCAAGTGGACCACGGTGGACCAAACAGATGTTTAATAGAGAAAAGGCAGATGGGAGATGACAACTTACCTGCAATTATTCATCTTTTTGTTGGGCTGACAGAAATTGTTCTCCGTGCAAAGTTGATGCCCGTGATCTTCCTGCCTAAGGGAAGGAAGGAAATTTATTAAGACTTTAAAAAGGCGAAACATTGCCATATATAAATTGGAATTCAATCTTAGATTTCCCATCTTTTGGCAAATTTTGGCACAAAGCGTTTCAATTGTTAATTGTTTTACAGCTCAATGTCCAAGGCAGAAGGGATCTATTGGAAATTCATTTTTGATAATGTACTTAAACATATATTTTTTAAAAAAAAATCATCTTGAATGGTCACATAGTTGAGAACTTAAAAGTAGACCAAAAATGTAGCTGCTTCCTCCTCTTATTTTGCACCTAGGTCAAGAAACAGCAGAGAACAACATAACAACTACTCTTAGCTGCTAATTGTTGCCCAACAAATGAAAATGAGGAATACACTTCCTCTGAATTTCAAGGTACTATATTCCTATTGTCACTTTCTTCTCCAATTTACCTGCCTACTTTAAGGTTTTGCTTCAAAAAAAGTGTGCAGGTGGAAATATAAGTGACTCATCCCTGCTTTAAAATAGTGTCTCTCTTAAAATAGTCCCTTTTTTTGAAGAGGAGGGTGATTTTTACTATTTATTTTAAAGGGGGTTAATCTGCTTTCCAACGTTGAAGCCAATATATAAACAGCTTCAATAAGTGTGAATATGACTTCAGGAAGAGTCTTTGGGGTTCCAAATTATGTCTCCTTTTTTTGATTAAGGATTTAGTTCCACTGAACCAGATTAAGGATTTGATTTCAAACTAGTGTGGATAAAGTACAGTACATCGTTACAGTCTGTGCTACTAGAGCACAAGACATATTTCCAAATAAGCCTGTAAAGTCATAATTCAAATATGTAGATTTGATGACTGCTGGCAAGCTAAATGAGACAGAAATACATACAGATGGAGTTTTGTCTGCCATGAAGCATTAAACTGCACAGTTAGTTGTGCTTTAGCATAATCAAAATAATATCGAGTAGAAAAAACATAACTCTAATTTTGGATATGAAATATTCATCATGTTAGCAATAGCACATGTAGTATACAAGGAGAATTATTATTATTATAATGTACACAACAATGTGAAATCGCAGCTGCCAATTCTTCAGCTGGCATTGGCTTTCATACACATCAAATTCTTCCCAAGAACCTAGGATGTCATAAATGTATTGTCGTAATACATTTGTATGGTACATTTGACTTATGACTACAATTGAGCCCAACATTTTGTGTTGCTAAGTAAGAAATTTGTTTAAGTGAGTTTTGTCCCATTTTACAACTTTTCTTGTCCCGTTTGTTAAGTGAATCACTGCAGTTGTTAAATTAGGAACCCAGTTGTTAAGTGAATCTGGCTTCCCCATTGACTTTGCTTGTCAGAAGGTTACAAAAGAGGAAACCTTCATAAATGTGAACCAGTTGTCAAGCATTCGAATGTAAATCATCATGGGGATGCCTCAACGGTCATAAGTGTGAAAAATGTCCATTAGTCACTTTTTTCAGTGCCGTTGTAAGTTTGAACAGTCATTAACTGATCTCTTGTGTAAGTTGAGGACTACCTGTATAGGTGCAAATCCAGCAGTGTGGCCTTTTGTAACTGACAAATGGACATCAATGCGCAGATAACAAACTGCGCAGATGCACCGAAGATGCATGAATTGCAGTTGAGAACAGCTGTCATACTATTTTCAAAACTGTAAATCTGTCCACAGATATATAAAATCATAGGAACACTAACCAGGAAGTCTTTGATGGCATAAAGTAGTTTGTATACATGTCTTTAGATGAAATATCATCATTTAAACTAAGGAAACCCCATTACCATTCAAGAGAGAATGCTGTTAAGATTCTGGTTTTTAAAAACTTTTTGAATCTCGTTTATTCCAAAGTAAGCCTGATGAATTAGCACTGCAGCTAATTTCACCCATTCTTATTTTATTTAGGGTTTTTTTTGTTTTGTTTCTTTAGAAATTTCAAACTTGAACGTAAGAGAGCATTGTGGATGACAGGCCTGCCAAAATGAATGCATCGTATTAGAAATTAATAAAGGCATAAATAAATGCATATCTTGGCTTGGAAGATTCCCCAGAGATATTCTTATAAATTATACAAGGGTTATAAACTCAGTTCTTACACTTGGTATAAAAGACTTCTTTTTGCTTCGACCTGCCTTGCGATTTAAGTTTCATATGATGCTGTTACAGATCACAAGAAATGACCATCTCAGTTGTGGTTTCTCATTTCACAAATTCTTTCCCAGAGAGACAGGCCTCTGTGGTTTGCTTTCTAAAAAGCTAATATTGCATTGCCCATAATTTTATGGCTACTATTCAACATAGTTTCTGATATTCCAGTACAAGTTTCCTTATTTATAAATAAAACAGTTTTGCTATATGTAGTGAAGCAAAAAAATAAATCGCAACAAATAAGTCAATTTATTGTTTTACTTGATACTATAGCCCCAATATTCATACAGATCCTGAATACTGACATGAATGTAGCAATTTTAATAATTCTCATTTGCATAGCAAATTCCAGTTAATTTTTTTTTAAAAAAACCTTTTTTAGTACACCAGCCCTTTGTTCTTTTCACTGTAAAGTGTATTTGGCCAGGATTTTCTATGTTTGCTTAAACATTGCACCATCCACATATCTAAAACATGACTAACCCACTATTCTTTTTATAGCATTTTATTCATTTTCCTGCCGCAGGTAAAGAATTAATTGGGACAGACGACGGTTGGAGATAGGCATTTGCATTTATGGAAAACATAAAATTTTGCAAGAAGAAGACCTAAAACTTCATAGACACCAAAACAAGGTTTGTTGCGTGGCTACCATCCATCCTGAAACTCCGCAATTAAACTAAACATTCCACCAGGTGGACTGTAGAACTATTTATACCTCAGAATATAATCTGAAATATTCTATCATGGCTATGGAACCCATTTTGGTCTTTTATCTTGAGAGGCAATTAGTTGTCCTAATAACAAAATCTAGCGATTACAATTAATCCTATTTCTGGGTTGTTGTTTTTTTTTACTTTTTCATTTTCCCAAAGCTTTTTTTGTTACCCTATTTTAATCCCTTCGTTATCGTAATTTAATTAGTATTATCAGTTTAGATTAGGGCTTCTGTGGGGCTTTTATTTTACATTTTATTGCCCAATTTTTGATGATTCTAGGTTTTATTAGGTAGCTTTTCTTTTCTATTTATTTATATCTCTGTGGATCCCACCCAGGGGTTTTATTAGGTAGTTTCTCTTTTTATTTTATATCTCATGCCTTTCTTGTTTTGTTTAAATACCTCAAGGTTGCAAACCTAAAATTCCTTCCTCCTAATGTGAATGTGAAGGAATTCCTTCCTCCTCCTATTATTGTTATTTTTTTATGTACTTATTGTCAACCACAACAAGATCATTGGTCTCTGTGCAGAGGGTTCCCTCATAAAATATACAAAAATATATATAATACACAAAATTCTACCTTTGTTTTATAGATTATTTACATCAACTATGCCATATATAACTTCAGATAACATTGTTGTGCATTTTATAGAGAGTGTAGATATTATAGCCTTTTATATATTACTAGAGTAAGGTAACCCCTGAAAGATTAATGTATTTTATATATTATGTATAAAATGTTTTCTGCGTTTTATATTACAAAGTGAAAGAACAAGGAACTTTTATTATTGCAGCACTGTATAAGACGGATGAATACTAACATTAAATACAAATAGTTTTAATACATATTTTATTAATAGGTATCAGTGAGACGATCGCAATTACACAGAATCCTAATATTCCCTCACAACCTCCCCCTCACTCCTTTCTCCCCTGACCCCCCCCACTCAGGAAGCCCCTCCCCCTTTCCGGACTCCTCCCCTTTCCCTCCCCCTCCTCTCCCGTACTATTACTACAAACTCCCCCCCCCTTCAGCCTCTTCCCCCCCCCCCTCCTCCGCCGCCGCCGCCGCCGTACTCATCCGTCCGCCTCGATTGGCCGGCGCCCCGAGCGCGAGCGCGTCACGTGACGAGGGAGAGAGGAGGGGGAGGGAGGGAGGGAAAGGAAGGCGGGGAGGCGGCGATCTCGCGCCCAAGGGCTGGCCGGACGCGCGCCCGCGCGTGCCTCTGCCTGGTCGGTTTCCAAGGCGACCGCAGGAGGAAGAGGGAGGAAGGGAGGAAGGAAGGAGAGCGAGGCTCATGACGGGGAAGAAGAGGAGGCGGAGGGAGAGAGCGGGCCCGCCCCCGGAGGGGAGGGGGCCCGGGCGCGCGCCTTCGGAGGAGGCTCGAGAGAGATTGAGAGAGAGAGAGAGAGAGAGAAAGAACGCGCATGCGCGCTCCCGCTCGCTTCCCTCGCCTCCCCGCTTGCCTCTTGCAGCAGAGCGGAGCCCGGCGAGGAGGAGGAGGAGGAGAGGAGGAGGAGGCTCCTCGGTTGCAGCAGCAGCAGCAGCAGCAGCAGCAGGTACCCCTCCATCGGCCTCCGAGTCTCCGAGGGGGATGGGGGTCCCTGGCTCGTGCTTGCTCCTCCCGCCTTGCCCCTTCTCCCCCAGCCCGGCCTCCGCAGAGGGGCACGTGCTCACCTGCTGCAATGGGAGGCGCTGGGGTCCCCCCGATCCCGAGGGCACCCGGGAGGAACCCTGCAAGGGACGGGGGGAGGGGGGAATAGGAGAGGTGCGGGGAGGGAGAAGGAATAGGAAGGAAGGAAAGAAGGATGGATGGATATAGGGGAGGGAGGGAGAAAGGAAAGGTGAAGGAGGAGAGAAGGAAGGAAGGAATAGAGGAAAGAAGGAAGGAATTAGGAGAGGAAGGAAGAAATAGAGAGGAAGGAAGGAAAGAAGGAATAGAGAGGAAGGAAGGAATAGAGAGGAAGGAAGGAAAGAAGGAATAGGAGGGAGGAAGGAAGGAAAGAAAGAAGGAATAGGAGAGAGGAAGGAAGGAATAGAGAGGAAGGAAAGAAGGAATAGGAGAGAAAGGAAGGAGAGAAAGGAAGGAAAGAAAGAAGGAATAGAGAGGAAGGAAGGAAGAAAGAAGGG